GCATGAAATAATAAGGTTTATCCTGAATTCATACCATTAGGAATGTTATTACTTTTCTGGAGCTTTGTCTGGTACAACTTAGCCAACATTCTTGTGGTTTCCTTTCAGTCATCATGGCTTCCCACCCAAAGCTCTCACACCTTCTTCCTGCTGCCCGACTGCGGCAGCTCGCCCGTGATTGGCTGCAAGAAGATTCTCCCAGCTTTGACTATGGTGGCTACACTGTGGGCAACCATCAGGTGTATGCTGTGCTCTTTTGTAAATCCCCTGGAGTCTTAGCTGGTTTCCCTTTCTTTGAAGCCATCTTTGCCGAAGTCGGCTGCTCTGTGGAGTGGCTCCAAACTGAAGGAACCTGGGTTGAACCCGTCACCCGAGTGGCTGAAGTCCATGGTCACGCCAATGACCTCTTGCTGGGTGAGCGAGTGGCTCTGAACTGTCTGGGACGCTGTAGTGGTGTTGCCACATCGGCAGCAAAAGCTTGTCGGGCAGCACAGGAAGCTGGTTGGCACGGAGAGGTAGCTGGCACAAGGAAGACCACACCTGGGTTCCGTCTCCCAGAAAAATATGCACTTCTAGTTGGGGGAGCTTCCTGTCATCGTTATGATCTGGGAAGCCTCATCATGTTGAAGGACAACCATGTCTGGGCCTCTGGCAGTATCACACAAGTGAGTACAGTACACAAAAGCAAAGGTGTTCTTATCTTACAATTCTTGTGATCTAGGTTGCAATCATCTGAATAATTGCTAGAGGGCAGCAGAGAAGAAGCGTTTTCCATATCTCTCTGCTACCACCTAGTGGCTGACCTGAGTGTTGCAGTCCAGATTCAGTAGCTGTACAAATCAGTCCTTAAAAGAAATGCCAAAATCCAATGTAAAATAAAATTTACCAAAAAAAAAAAAAGTTTAAATGCTCTGCATTCATTGAATTGATGTTAAAGTCTTAAAGTCAGCACTGGTTACAATCTTTAGATAATATTTAGCTTTGCACTACTGTATGTGCTAAGTGATAATGTGGTGATAATGAGACGTGTGTCTCAATTTTGTTAACCATCACTTGTTGTCTAGATTTAAAATCACATCAAGCTATGAACTATAGTTCACAAACAACAGTGGACAGATTCAAATAATCCTTTGTTTGCAACTGATGTGCTTTCTCATGGTTTCCCTATGTTTTTCTGAAGTAAAAATATGTTGAGGAAGAAACCAACAGATAATCTTTTGACTGATAGTTCTAGAAATTGTCTGTTTGAATACACTGATTAACTGCTTTCATAAGGTTTCTTAGGAAATCTTTCATTGCTAGTGATCATGGAAAGGAGAAAACACCCACAGTGGTTGGTTTTTCATGCCTGAATCCAGCCATCATTGAACAAACTGGTTTCATGCTGACTTGAAAACCCTATTCTTCCCATTGCACAGACCATTTTCTGAAAACCAATTGATTTTGTTTAATTTGACTGTGGAAAGGAATATGTTCCCCAATGCTTGACTGGATTTAATTTAGAAATTTGCTCAATATTTCTGGGGAGAAAAATGGAGATCAGTATCTTCAGCTCAGTTGAGGGCTCAGAAATAAACCTTTTTATTCTTGCAGCTCCAGGAACAAGTAAAGTCTTTCTCTGAGTGAATTACAGCTTTGCAGAGAAGCACCATTTTCACTTGGATTTTGGCATCACAGTCCTGATTCTGATTTCCCCAATAGCAAAACACATTACGTGCCTCTTATTTGACCCATCGGGTGACCTTATCGCTGCTATTTTTATATGTCTTGCTCAGTTTTCTCCCATCTGTTACCCTCCAGGTGAGCAGCAGAACAGCAGCAGGGGATGTTGGCAGGGTGTGGTAAAAAAAGTCAAGATGGAGGCCACAATGGTATGATCAAAGTTCTCCCTGTTTTTTATATGCATTGTACATGCGACACCCATAAAAATGGGCGGAACTTCAACTGCACTGTTACGGTCACCACCTTGGCTTTCTTGACCACATCCTGCGGGCAGCCCTGGACAATAGAATATGGTAGGTTCTTTTTGTTGTTCTAGTTGAGAGACTGTTTTTATATTTTACTAATAATTTCATTTAAATTGTTGTTGCAAACGGCTCGCGCCTTTGGAAAGGGGAGAGAATTACCTTAATTTTTTTTTTTTTTAAATAATCCCCCTCTGCTGGCTGGGACTCTTTCCAGAATTAGAATCTGCACCCAAGTTTAAGCAGGGCTTATATGGGCCCTCAAAGGCCCCAGGGTAGAGACCAGCTGTTTTTTATAGGAGTTTTTTTTCAGGGAAACAGCTGGCGTGAGCATCTCTAAGGTTTTCTCAAGCTTCTGCAGGCATCAACATAAAACGTGGACCACGGCTAGTTACAATGTTCACAATCCCACAGGCAGTTCACAATGCCCGGCGGGTCGGTGGCTTTGCCCTGAAAATAGAAGTGGAGTGTGGCTCCTTGGAAGAAGCTCTTGAAGCATCAGGGTGTGGCGCTGATATTATCATGCTGGACAACTTTGCTCCTGAGGTATTTGGCTGAGAGAAGATGGGGCAGATCTAAAAACCAGAATTACTGTTTTTTAAAAAAACAAAATTTGTGATCTCTGGTTTGGTCCTTTTGTGTGGATTGTGGTTGAAATATTGACATTTTGAAGCTAAAATGTGACTCTCGTAGTTTCAGAGGTTGCTAAGCAGGGTTACTTTAAAAGCATCAGGCCCAAGATGGTATCTTCCTTCTGAAATATTTTTTCCTTTCCTCCCCAAATTTTAACCAGCTGCCATTTCCTGGAAACAGGAATTAGGTTGCTGCAGGGTTTGGTTTAATTCTATTATTTATTTAGGATATGTGTGTGTCATTACACATGACAGAAGTTCTTGAAGGGGTTTACATTGTGAAACATGGCATACAAACATGTTTACAATAAAGCTGGTTACAGTCCCAATGTGGGCCAAGCTTTGACATGGATATCTTCCACCCTTGAACAAAACATGATCTGTGCAGGTTCTGCTTCTGGAGAGGTCTTCAGGACCTCAAATTACATGGCTCTGTTGTATGTTGAAAAGAATATCTTGCCCCATGTGGGACCATTCCTTCATTTGGCTTATACCCAATTTGGACCCCATATTCCATATATTCCCAAACTCTATGTCAGGTATCATCATCATAAAACTGCAAGTATTTGGTTTCCCTTGTCCTCCCGCTCATCTGGCTTGTCTTCTTCTGCAGGATTTGCACCCTACAGCCAGCACCGTAAAGGCCTCCTTCCCCCATGTGACAGTTGAAGCCAGTGGAGGAATCACCGAGGAGAACGTGGCCCGCTTTGTGGGGCCCAATATCGATGTGATCTCTCTTGGTTGCCTCACCCAATCAGCCAAAGTGGTAGACTTCTCCCTCAAGATCAGCCGGGATCAGGCTCCCAAGTTGCCATTGCGCAATTTCGTTTTCTGAGCCATCAAGATGGGAGAGCCAACCAGTCCCATTAAAATCTTTGGGAGATTTGTAGTTGAACAGGTTTGGGGAGGGAATAGGGGCTGGGTTGCATCTGCTGCTTAAGCCAGCACTCCCCATAACTGTGCTGGTCTAGGATGATGGGAGTTGTACTCCAAAACTTCTGTGTAGTAGTTTACCAGTAGTTCTGGTAAAACCTACATAGACGTTTCTTTTAAAGGACTCTTTTCTTACATAGGATCACTGGAGCAGAACCACCATCAGGGTTGAGGGAGAGCAGCTACCTTTGCTCTCCTAACTTCTTCAACGTATGTGATTTCTGAGAGCAAGAAAATGTATGTCATTTCCCTCCCACCTTCCCTTAGTCTGTGCCTTGCATGCCTGCTGCAGGCAATTTCACTAAGCTGGCCAAATAAACTTTTTTTTAAAGTTGTTCCATTGTCATGTATCAAAGTTGTCATGGCCAGCAGCATCAGCATTGCTCTCTTGTCTTCCACCCCACATTTTCCCAGAGTTGTAATGCAGCTGCAATTATGTCCAGACTCTGAGTTGTCCAGAGATTGTCTGAGAGCATCAGACAATGCTAGTGTTATTGAAGCATAATATGACGTGCAGCCTTCATCAGGGATGTGGGTGGGAAAACACAGGGGATCCTATCCTGGAGCAAGGATATAAAAATAAATGTGTAAGTGAAGCAATATTAGGCCTGCTACTGAGTTTAAAATTATTAAGTGATTAATTATGTTACTTTAATCAAATTCTTTAAATTTAAATATAGATTAAAAACAATTTGTTCTGAATCAAGAAGCAGACATTCTTTCCTTTTCGATCACAGTCTATAGTACTAGCAACATAAGGTGATATTGTCTCATTTTCTTTTACATAAGAAGGAATGGTCTTTTAAGATTGTGCTTGTTCTTAAGTACGTGTATCGAAACTATTTTCTAAAAGTCGTACTAGACACACTTAAAAAAATCCGTTAACTGAGCTGATTAACTAAACATCACAGCCCTAAAAGGAAGAGAACAATCACATTCAGAACCTGGAGCTAAATGGGAATCCGGGCACCATTTGAACCTGCTCTAGCACTTGGTGGTCTGAGCAGACAAGCAGACTGTGAAAACAAGGGCATTAGAAACAGAGCTGTCCTCATCTTTATTAAGACATTTGACGGAGTGAGGTCCCAATTAGGTTAAGACTAGTTGTGGTGAGTTGGGTCAGCTTTGGGGGGTATAATTTTTCTCCCCAAATGATAATAATAAATAACAGATCGATATGTTTGTTGTTTGGTTACAAAAGTGTGGATCATCAGGGACCAGTGTAAATGAAATTCCCCGGCCTGGGGGTGTCTAGGTGGAATCCCCCACAAAGCAAGGGTAAAAAATTCAGGGTTTATTCCCCTTCCTTGTCCTCTCCATGTGTGATGACATAGCAGATGTTCTTGTAGTCAACATTGCCAGCTACATCTGGAGGGAAAGCATGCCACATATTCTTGATCTGCCAGAAAGAAAGAAGGTTATGTTGAGAAGTTATAGGATTGCAGCTGATTATTTTCAACTGTTTTCAGTTGTCACTCTAACTTATGGCTCAGCTATGCAAGAGGATGATTGTGCCTGTTGGCACTGCCCAAGAAGAGTTGTGGGCGGCTAACAAAATAAGGATATCTCATAAATGATTTGTTTAGTGTGCTTGTTTAGTATTCAGGATTCAGGTTTGTGCTAAAAAAGAACAATATGGTTTGTTCCAGGTTTCTTTCCTGGCTTGATTCTCTCAGTCTCTGATTTGCAAGTATGGTTCTGCTCATTGTGATTGAACTGACTTATGTACAAATAGAACAGGAGTGTTAATATTTGTTTTTATTGTTTGCTATGCACATCCTCAGAAGAATGTTATTAAGAATTGAAAAAAGATTCAGGGTTGACTGTGGCCTCAGATTAACCCCATACACGTTCAAAATTAATCTAACATTTCAATGAAATCTATGCAAGCATACATAAATCTATTCAAATTAACTATTTTATCCTTTTACCCCAATTCTGCAGATTTTAGATTTAATTGTTGACAAACAGCAACACATGGAAAAATAAAACTGAAATAAAAGACCTGGGAAGGGGGACCATAGTTGAATAAAGAAAAAAGTGGGACATCAGCAGGATGCCAGGAAATTTTCTTACCTCTTCTGAAGTGAACCGGTCACACTGGGTGGTCAAGAGTTCTTCCAAGCTGTAGTGAGACAAGAAAAACATGGTGTGTGACAAGGACCCTTAAGTAGATGTGACTTCTGATCCAACTGTCCAAAAGCACTTTTATTTTAAACATAATTTAATGGTAAGCCATGGGTTGTTTAAACAAGTAAATCAGGAAGAGTACTGCAATGTGGTTGCAACAGGATGAGATGAGCATGTGAACCTAGTAACAACCATTTAGAATTATGTCTGAACAGATTCAGTGCTTCTGCTGGAAGTGAACTGGGAGGTATAAACACTCACAATTTCTTCTTGACGGTCCCCTTGCCCTCAGGGTCCAAGACTTTGAAGGCACCAATGATTACGTCCTCGGGATCAGCACCTGATGAGACAAGAGAAATACTAGTGAGATGTTAGAACATGGAACAGGTTATCTGTCATATTACAGAAGAAGACCAAGGAGAATCACTCACCCTTCAGCTTCTCCCCAAACATGGTGAGGAAGACAGTGAAATTGATGGGGCCGCTGGCCTCCTTGATCATGGCATCTAATTCTTCATTCTTCACATTCAGGCGGCCTGCACAGAAAGGAAGAAAGATTAGCTGCTGAGGATCTGGTTTAAGGGTCTGATCATCCATTCAGCTTTACTTTACCTAAAAATGCTCATGTTATGATGCTCTTTCAACCCCCCCTCTTGTCTTACCCATAGCAGCAAATGTATCTCGCAGGTCTTCCTTGTCAATGATGCCATCTCTGTTCTGGTCAATAACAGTGAAGGCCTAGGAAGAAGAAGAGAAAGAAATACATTAACTAAGTTCATGCATCATGTTAAACTGGTTTGTTGATATATAGCTATAATGGCTTGGTTCATCTATTACACCAAGTAAAAACTAAATCACATTATGGCATAGCACAATGTGTGAACCCAACATGTCAGACTCCAGAAAATTCACCTTCCTCTCCCTGCCCTACCAAAATGAACAGTTGCCAGCATCTAAAATTGGTAAAATAACTGTATTTTATAATAGCTTTTGGATTTAAATCTATCCACTCTCAACAGATATCTAAACTGTGATTATATATGTGCACATTTTTGCAAAAATTCATAATTAGTAGAGGCCTTCATTTCTTAAGTCATGATGAGCAAGTAAGCTTTTTCTGTTTTTCTAAGAACTCATTCATCACCCGAGCACTGCTGTATCAAGTGGTACATAATTAACCCATAGCAGGGTAAACTCTGGTGGTGAAAGTTTCAGATTGCTTTGGAGAGCAGCCAGTGGCCAAAACCAGCAACATCGGAGGGTCAAGACAGGCACTTGTGATGTCACAGCTGAAGCCCTGCCTCTTTGTAGAACAAAAGGGTGGGACTTTGATCACAACGGCACAAACACCAACTTGCCTGCTTTGACCTTCTCCCCCATGGGCGCTGCTGGTTTCAGCCTCTCAGCTGCAAGGCTTTTTGGTAGATGCAGTTCAATAGCGATTCATCAAGCTTTAAGTAACTAGAGCGGGGATCAGCAATTTGGGATCTTCCAGATATTTGAGAGTTTTCATTCTTATCCCTGTTAGTTAACATGGTCAACAATGAAGCATGCTGGAACTGCAGTCCAGCTCTAAATCGAGGACCAAACATTGTCTGTTCCCAAACTGGGATAACAAAAGAATGTGTATGAATGGAGAAATTGTACAATCTGCAACAGATATAATCGAATATATACACCTCTCTACATTTATTACTTAATAATTACATAAATGATATATAAGTGGAAAACTACACAAACTCCACACTTGTACCAAGAGTATGTTTAAATTCCTCCATTTCATAGCAAAAACATCCTTATGGTTGAGCCCCACAGTGTGCCATCTTTAGTTTTGCACAAATGTGCTTTTGGAAAGGAAATGTTAAGTTGCAGGGAAAAATATTCTGACTCAGAAAACTGGTACACAGGAGGCAGGGAAAATAATTGTGGGATTTTGAATGGCAAATAGCTTCTGTCTCCCTCTCTCCTCCCAGTTCATAGTGCAAAGTCCTTCTGGCCTTCAGTGATGCAAACTGGATAGAGCCTTTGATCCCAAACAGCGCATTTTAAGAGCAAAAGCTCAAGAAGCAGATGAGTGAAAAATAGTTCAGTGTTGTTGACAGAGCTGGTGGTTGTGCTAAGCCAGCTTTTAAAAAATCCTCTTTAACATTCAGACAACACACAACATTAAGGCACAGAACAAGTTTTATCAATTGCAATAGCTGGGTTTGTACAATACATTAATCCAAATTTAATAAAACTATATTGCAGCTTATTGTGATATGCAAATCCAGCCAAAGAGATGGCTGTATAGAGCCAAGGAAAGATGGTCTGTTAGTGGTTATGGTAATCATCATCATCTTCAGTTAAACTTGTATGCTGCCCGACTCTCAACAACTCTGGGCAGCTCACAACAATCAAAGGAAATTACAATAAAATCAATGAATGTTATAGTTGTCTTATGTATATAGTTTTTTTATCTAGTATGATACTTTTAAACTAATTTAATGTGGATTTTTTTTTTACTGTTTTTGATGTTTGATTTTAATTGTGAGTCGCCCAGAGTCACCCTTTGGGGGAGATGGGCGGTGTATAAATTTAATAATAAATAAATGAATAATTAAAAAAACAACAACATAAAGATAAAAGATGGCAAACGTGATGGAGCGAGGGGTCTCACTCTCCCTAGCCCAAGGCCTGGGTGAAGAACCAGGTCTTCATGGCTTTTCTAAAGAGAAGCAGAGTGGGGGCCGTCTGGATCTTGGGGGGAACCTCGTTCCAGAGGGCAGGTAAGATGGGGACGAAAAATTAACTAACTGCCGCTGAACCCTGGACACAAAATATTAGCTCACTTATATGTCTGTGTATAATTCAAAGTAGTTGTAGTACCTCTTATCTTTAGTCCTCAGTAGGTTTACTGAACAGTTTAAATTAGTATCTTAGTCCAGACTGGATAAAAAAAAGACCTTAGTGGTTCTTCTAGTTGTCTGCTTATCTAGCAATGCATTATAGGATTGGAGAAGCGTGCTAGCTCCTGGAGCACCTTCTCCCTCCTCCCTTTTCTGCAGCTGTGCCCTGGAAACACCTGTCATTCGATATCCTTCTTCGCCTCTGCAAGGAATGTGAACAATCTTAAGCTGCCTCATATTAAACTCAAATCCCTCCCTAAGGGGACAGGTGGTACATTCTGAAGGGGCTGTTGATGAGGTCTCCAAAGGATGGCAGGGAGTGGTGGAATTCACTCCTCCCTCCTCTCATGGTTATCCCCCCTTCCCTTTTCTTCTTTTTAGCTAAATGCTATGTGTGTATCTCTTTCCAAAGAAAAACGAAGTGCTAGAACTTAGCAAATCTACAGTGGCTGCATTGGCAGGGCAAATTCAGCCAAAAAAACCACCCTGTCAGGCAAGTCCTTGCCATCTTACCCAGACAGACAAGGCTCTTCAACCAAAGCATAGTGTTTGCTGTGTTGTCCAAACCTGGAATGGCCACCATTTAGGGTATATGGGAGTCAAAATGTGTAATCTACAACAAGCCTTGATTTCAAATTCTACTTTTTGTAAAACCCAAATGCCAACAAACCAAGCTTAAGGTATTGGTTAAGGAGCAGTGTGTGAATAAAGATGGTGGAGAAACTGGGCTTGTTTCTCAGATTTTCAGGCTCAATATGTTGTGTGAATCCAGCCCTGGTCTAGAGAGCACTGTTGATTCTTCATGTTGTGAAAAAAGGGGGAAGTATGAACTCTGTCCATTTTTCAGAGAATAAACAATAGGTGGGGTGGAAGTTATGTCATCTCAACAATCTAATGTAGTAATTTGGGTGTTGGCTGGAGAAGTACTTTCTTGAGGAAAGTCATCAGGAAGCCTTTCCAACTCATGTTAAAAAAAAAAAAAATCACACCCACCCACTGGAAAGGACCTGACTACTTTGGGTAGAAGCAGAGAGGGCTAATATAGCAGCAGTCAGACCCCAGTGTCAGCAATGAACCCAGTGCTTGCTGAATAATGGCAAAAAAGATTCTTTGCTCTGAGGAAGTTACATTCTAGGCACAAAAACATAAAAGAGTATTCTGAAGGAAAGCAAACAAAACCAAGGCAGTCCAGAAATCTTGATGGTAACCCATCCTGTTTCCCACAAAACTCTAAAAGATATTCTAAAAGATTCCAAAAGATATTCTAGCTAGAAAAACACTAGGTATGACACAACTTCATCCTGAGTCAAATCATCAGTTCATCCTCTTCACTGTTCTGGATGGCAGACTCTCTCCAAGAAGATCCAATCCAGTATGGAGATCAACAAAGGAACAGCTCAAAAAGCAGTGGATTGATCCCTGAAGAGGCAAGCTGGCTAAGGAGATATCATTACCATAGTTGAACCTATGACTCACCTGGGCTGCAAAAATCCTGATGACTGCTAGATGACAACCAATAATTAGAGGGTGTTTTTTAAATCCCTTTCTGCCATCTAGTGAATGTCCATCCAGATCTGGTAGCCCTAGTTCTAAATATCCAGGTTGTTACTTCTGCTAGCCTCTATTCAAGCAATCTTCCCAAACTGCATGCTCTCTCATTATGTTCCTCAAACTCACACCATTCCCATAATGGGAGTCGCAGTGTTGGATCAGATACTTTACCTACTTGTGTTGGGCCAATTTCATTTCATTAAAAAAATGCTATCAAATACCTATAGATTTCAGCAATGTATAAACTTGGGGGTTCTGGGGCCAGAGAAATGTGAATGAGGGACTGTGTTTTCAACACCGGCATACCCAGTGGGCTCTAGCACTACCAAGTAAGAGTTCAATCTTTTCACCCTTAGCAAATTATAGAAAAGGTAAAAATGGCAGAGCAGATAATAGGAAAGGCAGGAGAATTAAAATGAAGGAAATTGTCACTTAGTCCTTCTGAAATTCCATGAGTACATCAGGATTACTGCACAGTGCAAAAGTGATCCTGAAGCACCTGAAGACTAAGGGGACCTGGGTTCTGTCCTGCCCCAAAGATCTATAGGTGATCTTCAATGTTATCAGTCTCACAGGATGCTTGTAAGGCTCAGTAACAGGAAGAGGGGGAGAAAGGGCGCAAGTATGGTTCTTTGGGTTTTTTGAAGCATTGCTACGCATGCAATTAAAAAAATATGCACATTGCAAGAACTGAACTGTCATCTCATATTTTTAAAAGCAGGTGGCCATCAAAAAACAAAGACATGCAAACATATGTTGCAGGAAAAAGAAGAAAATCTGAAGACACTTCCAAAGGAGGTAAAATTATCGTTTGCTACCAACTCTATTTCTAAGGTAGCCTTTGTCTCCTTTATTGTAGATAAATGTCTAAGACTGAAAGACCTTCAGGCTTCATTTTCAATGGAAACCAGAAGGCTGCCTGCTTCTTGCCTCCTCCTCTCAGCCTAGCCAGCCAGAATGGATTTCCAAAGATCTCCTTGTAAGGTTCTGCCACTTGCTTCATCCAAGCACAGATGTCACCTCTTTTCTCAGTCCTCTCTCACCCAAAATAGACACTGCTGCATCGCAAGGGTCTTGGAAAGGAAACACCATCAGCCTTGGGGTGGTGGGTGGAGGGGTAGTGCCTGCCAAAGGGCAAAAAATGCTTCTCTGAAATGAAGATTAAGAATTTAAGTGGCGAGAAGAAGAGAACATCTTCATATGGAAAGCTTGTACTCACTCTCACTTTTACAGGTGAGAGTCTCTATTTGAAGTCCAAATTAATTTGAAGTGTAAGCTTCCTAATTAGAATAACCTTGAATTATCCTTGGAAAGGAAAAGCAATTTAAATAGTGTGTAGAAAGTTGCTCTTCCATGCACAGTTACTAGTGCACCAAAGTAGGACTTTGTGGAAGCACACACCCATAGTTGCTTGTTACTTTGGCTCTTCAGAGATATGGCCAGGTTTACATATCACAATAAGCCCTAACCCATGGTTTACAAAACCACTTTTTGACCTGCTTTACACATCACAATAGGTCATGGTTTGCTTAATCATGATTTATTGAATAACACCAAAATAAATTAGCACTCAGCCTACATATCTTAGGGAGACAGACAAACATTTTTGGAAGGAGTTGGTCCACTTATAATATCTGTGGATTCTCACACTCTCTCTCCCTCTTCAGGAAGTTCTCCACAATAGCATTCCTCAAGCTGGCACCTCAGGTGTGGCAAAAAAACAAACCCCATTATTCCCAGTCAACAGCCACCCTGTCTGAGAACAATGGCAGCTATAATTCAACACATATTGGAATGGGCAACAAAATGAGGAAAATGTCTCTAAAACGTAGAAGTATTCACCATTATCAACAACTAACAGAACTATATAAAAGGCAAAGGAAAGGAAAGATAATGAGTGGTGGACCTCCACTTGATGGATGGAATTTCAGGAACAAAGAATCCATATTTTTGTAAAGGTGCATTCTCAAATCAAACCACCATCAATGTCATACACAAACAGATATCCACAAATGGTTCCACAGATTCCTGAGGTAAGTCATGTTCAAAACATTCCTCCATAACTTATCTAGACCTTTTCTATTTACTCACTTCCGCTGAAGCCAAGGAAATGTAGCCTGGATTCATACAAAACACTGGGTTACACTAAACTGGACATACCTGCATATGTAAAACAGGCTCCCTTGTAACATTTAATTAGGTTCTGCTAATAACCTGCAAAATTTCGGTGGTTAGTCAGCAAATTTTTTCAAAGTGAAGACAGAATCTGAATTGAATAATACAAGGAAGCTTTAAAAACAAATTCATTCCTATATGTTCAGTAATGTAGTTAAAATATCCTTCTAGAATGTGAGTTCGGTGGTGCTCCTGATGCTTCTGCTCATTGGGATCCAATCATTTACCCCAAAGTCCTACTTTAATGGCATTACTGCATTTATTACATTTCCAAATGGCTAACACCCCTTCCCACTTCCATTTTTTTTTCTTGTTTTTACCTCTTTAAACTCCTGGATCTGTGTTTGGTCAAACATGGAGAAGACATTGGAGCTTCCTTCTGCTGCCCTTCTCTTTGCCTTCTTGGGTGCCTGAAAGAGAAGAAGGATGGGCATTCAAGATCAGATCACTGCATCCTTATCTAGGGCAACCATGCTTCCCACTTTTATCGGTGAGAGTCTCTATTCAAATTCGAAATTAGTTTAAAGAAAAAGAAGGGAGAGAACCCGTGGTGCTAATTGTCCAACACTTCCCAGCACCAACATCACTGACTGAGGAAGTACATAGGTCACCTAGTCACAGCTTCCCCTCTATGGTTAAATTAATTATCCTTCAACTTAAATTATAGAACTTATTTATAGGTTTGTATCTTCCTCTTTGCAAATGTGACATAAATCGGCACCTTTGGTCCTCCTTTGTCCTGATGTATTTTCTCCTTTTGACAATGCGTAAGCACACAATTCATCGGTGACAGGAGAACATGCGATATCTTATTAAGAAAGGATTCCCACCATGCAAAGTTTCTAGAGAGTTAGTTATTTATTTTGCAAACTTATAAATGGCTTCGGTCATGGTAGACTCGAAGCAGTGTAACTTAGCAGGTTATTGAATTTGATTATGTAAGCCATATTTGATCATTTTCTACATTTTGTCTCTGGGGAGAGGAAAACCCTACTAAATGTAAGAAAATATTTTTTACTTTAACTTAAATAATTAAAACTTCCTTTAAATGTCTTTTTATGTTAGGTGCATATTTTCAAAATAAACTATTGTTAATATTTGTTGTTTTCTATAAATACAAGGGGGGGGTGTTAATCTTTAAGGAAGTCCAGCAAACAATTTCATTGCTGTAGCAAAAGTCTGAAAATGTGAATATTAAAGGGAAACATTAATATTTGTTATTTTAAATAAATTGTATGCTTTGGTTTGAGAAACAGCAAAAGCAGCAACTCTTGCTTTCAGTCCAAATATGGAGTTGATAAAAGTTTAACGCATCTCCTCAAAGTCTTCATTTCAGGTTTGTAACAACTGATTTCCATGAGGACGATCTTTTCTTTGTATGTAAATATGTGAGTATTATAACTTTAAGCTTCCCAAAAATGATTTTGCAAGCTTTAAGTTAATAAGTAATGTATTAATGCAGTAAGCAGAAGTCCCTTAGTTTCCTTTAAAAGGGTAGCTTGGGCAAGTAAAACATGTACGAACAAGCCCAATTTGGTGATAAATTGAGAACTATTTCAGAAAGTAGCACTAATCCACAACTGGTGTGCCTAATAGAAAAGGGGTGGGGGGAAGGCTGTATTCAAAACAGCCATATAAATAACTCCAGCTGGTTTCTCAGGTCTAGCCTACGCATGAAAAGAAAAAAATAAATGATAGTTTACCCTCTTTTTCACTGTTTTCTCTCTCAACCTCTGTCAACAATGTCTCCTTTTGAACAATGTCATTAAATATGGAATGTATAGGATTATGATCTACTGTACAGCCCAGGAAGAGTTATTTAGAATGGCTGTGATTATCTGGAGGTAATTGAAGAATCTCCTTTATATCTTCAGTGTGGCTAGAAACACTCTTTCTTGATCGTCAACTACTGAAAACTGATAAGCGTGTAACTTCTCGGAAGATCAGAAGATGTGACAGGGATGGCAAGGCAAAGATGGAACAGGAACCTGAAGATCCAGACAAAGCACGTCACCAAGTGGGTCTCTTTCATTAATTGAACCAGAGCAAAAATAAGAACTTTGGGGTATTGGCTGGAGATAACAGATGCATCTCAGTCCTCCAATGACACAATTGGCCAGAATTTCTATAAAAGTCAAGTAATGTTTTGGAAATCCCTATAACAGGAAACAAGGGACAGAGGTATGGCTAGAGATGATGGGAAACGTAGGCTAGAAGCTTCAGGTGGAGAAAGCTAATATACATCTGCATGCTGACAAACTAATGTCTTTTAGCGCCAATAGATGAGACCCTGAGAGATTCAACAATCCAAACTATTGAGGGTTATCTTCTCTGCATGGCCTGACTTGCAGGAATGTTCTGGAGCGATTGCACATCTTACAGAGTTCACTCACTCCTACTTTTCCTCTGACGTGGATTTTCAGAGGAGAGGTACACAAGGCATACAAAGAAACTCCAAGGGTGAAGGAAATTTTTTAAAAAGTGTATTGCTTTTTCTCAATACAAAATAAAAAAAAAACCAGACAGGTTGCAGCTTTCTTTGTCTGGATCTTGTGGTGCCTTGAGGAATCTGACTCAGAGGCTCCTGTCTGCTCAGCAACTGTTCCGCCACCCTTTGTTCCTTTTCGAAAAAAAAGTCAGGCAGAGAACCAACGGATTCCATGTGAAATAAAACATCCTGCTGTATTATTCAAGAAGAACATTATGCAATTATTCAGGGGCTGAAGGGGTTCACCTGCAAGATTGAGGGTACAAAGCCAAGTAACACCAAATATTATTAAATAGGACAATAGCTTGGGATGGGATACATATGCAAGATCAGATCCATTTCAGAAGGTGAAGAAAATGAAACCCAGTGATAGATGTTGAATCATCACCCATGTAATCTGATATTCTGCATGCCTTCAGTTCTTCCAAGTTTTCTTCTCCATCTCAAAACAGTGCAGATGCCCTTGTGTTCTCATAACCTCCCTGTCTCTTTAATAGCACCAAAGTTTCCTCTTAACACACATATTCCTTTTGTCCAGACATCAAAAAACTCCTTGCTGAAAATAGTCAAAATGCACTCACATATGTATTAAGAAAAAGATGGGGTGGGGGAAGGATTTTCAAAGAAAATTACCTAGAGAATTTTTCACCCCTTCTACATCTTTTGCTGATTTTATCCTTCATCAAGAGAATCTGAGAGGCTGCCCTACTCTAGTGCTTCACCTCTTTCAAAAAAAAAAAGCAGATCAATAGATTATTTAACTTTTTCACTTTGCACCGCACATTTTCCACTAGTTTGGAATAAGGTAGCACCTGACTTCCTTAGAGACCTACTGTACGGTTGCCTGCATACCCAATTTTTCTCACTTACCATGTTTAGTCTCAGTGGGCAGGTAGATGGGTGAACAGCAGCTGTGGGTGCGATGGGGATGTCCCAGGGGCCAGAAGGGCAAACAGCCTAGACACTGGCTATGAATTCCCCTGGGGTTATATAGACTCCCTCTGTGGGAGGCGGGACAGCTAACTATAGCCACATCTTCAAGTTTGGCTCCTGGGTGGAGGATGGGGGTAACTAGAAATAGACTCCAGAGGAACGCAAAAGGGCCAAGTCCTTTCTTGGAGACAGGGAAGGTATGTTGGGTTTGATGGTCCATAACTCAACAGTCTTATTATTCTGGGGATAATCCAGCTCCAAATCAAAAGGGGATGAGCTCACACCTCACACTAACTCATAATGTGGTTTGCTTGTTTATGGCTTGCCAATCTAGCTAATCTACCAATACACTATGGTTATGCAAACATGCTTTCATTCAATATATGAACCCAATCAGAGGACAACTCCTTGCTCAAAAATTGACCCTGGGGGCTCACAGAGGAAAAAAAAAAAAGGAAGACTGATACAAACATACAGGCACAATATCTCTTTAAGTCTTACACATTTAGAATTAATCACAGCAAAAATCTGGGTAGAAAAGATGTATTTCTAAAAATGTGTCAAAATATGTCAGAGATCCTGAATGACCTTCAATAAATTTGTCAGATTTGATAGACCAGGATTTGCAAAGTTTAAAACAAAATTCTTTGTCTGAAATTTAAACCATTCCATGGACTTTAATGCTTGCTCCCTAACCTTTAGCTAAGAATCTAGACATTCACTGGCATGATTGGACAGCTCACCCCAAATATGCCAGCCTGGAAGTTCTTACTGGGCTGAGCATCAGCCCTCTTCCTGCTCAGCACACCTGATGTGACAGATTCCATTGATCCCCTATGCTGAGACACAGGAAGGCTTCAAACATCAGCACAGAAGATCCAGCATGCCAAGACAGCTTCTTTACTTCGTCTTCTCCCTTCCTTTCCTCCCTCCTTCCCTCTGAGCATAAGGTATCCAATGTCCCTGAGAAAATTTCCTTTTTGGGATTGCTGGCCCAGCTGTCACTTGGGAGACACTCGGGCAAAAGCAGAAGTTCCTAAAGATAGCAATCAGAATTTCTTTCCTTGCCCCACTACAGACAGACTGTCCATTTACACACATCCTTCATTTCTTGTCTAAAAGAACTCCAATCGTACCCACTGGTTGGAGTCACCCAACCTGGAAAGCCATAGCTTGTCTTAATCATGAGCTGCTGAACTGACTACAGTGATTGGGTGTGTACATTATGCTAAGAGATAAATCAGAATTTACACACCACAGTGGCTAAATTCATATACTGTGCTAGGCCAGAAGCAAACAAACTATCCTATGGCTCAGTGAGATATGTAAAGTCAATCACAGGTTACAAGGCAGAGAATGAACACAAAAGGGGGAAAACAGAGGAAAAACTGTTCACAGCTCAGTTTTCTTCTTCGTTTAGAAATTAGCAGCTAGGGATCTTAGGGTAAGATCCAGCCTCCTGAATCCCACGCTGCCAATCTAGACGAAGTGACACATGAAGACAGTGCTGTACACATGGAAACATCCCATGGAAATCCATGGACCGGTTGGGAATGATGAGAACTCTAATCCAATATCACAGAAAGGCAGTAGGAACGTTTAGAATCCTAAATAGCTTGGTTCCTAGATACTTGCTGGACTGCCTCCTCCAGGTAGAACCAGCCTGTCCAATTTACTTATCTCCGTTGAGGATGGTGAAGGTTCCTGACCTACAAGAGGTGAAATCTGTGAGGGCCTAGAAATGGTGCTTTCTTGGAGTGGCCATCACTCTTGAGAATAACTTCCCTTACCTTCTGGAATCCAGACAGGCATATCCTCTGGTGGCTTTTTGAAAAGTTGTCAAGATGGGGTTTTAAGATTGGATGTTGCCCAATGCAGGTTGGTGCCATTGTTTTTACAAGGTTTACTAGTTCGTTAACTTTAATGTTGAATCTATACTGTATTTTTAAAAACTTTGTTGTGTTCTGTTTTTATGCGTGTAAAGTGACAAGTGTCATGATTTTGGTGGTGTATATATGAAATAAATAAATTGCTACCTAGGGGCCTCCTGCCTTACAAAACAGGACGAATTATTGGTTAGACTTGCCATAATCAGAAAAAACAGATGCCATGTATTTTTCAGTGTATCTATCCTTTGCTTGCTGCCACAATAACATAAACTGAAGGCAAGGAAAACTTCACTAAAAGGGAAGCTGTGATAGATACCGGATTGGGAACAGAGTGAAAAAACGGATTTTTTTCAAGAGAAAGGGGTGGATAGATGAGAAGCATCAAAAGAGCTAAATGGGAAATAAGGAGCAAGGGAAAGGAAGAAAAATGATATAAAAATGGAGAATGACATAGGTAAGGTTCACAGTCACAATTGGCTGGATTCATGGACATCTTAAGTGGGAAACAAGGCTAGGTTTACACTTCACACTAACATAAAATCAACAAATTGCTTTATAATGTAACACAATATGTGAACCCAGCCACTGAAGAGCAGCCAAAGCATTGAGATGAAAAAAAGAAACTTGAAACATTATGTTGGGATGCAGAAGATCTGAGTGAAATGTGTAGATGGTGGTGAGGACCTGAAGTTTTGGCTCATTATGTTGGGATGCAGAAGATCTGAGTGAAATGTGTAGATGGTGGTGAGGACCTGAAGTTTTGGCTCATTATGTTGGGATGCAGAAGATCTGAGTGAAATGTGTAGATGGTGGTGAGGACCTGAAGTTTTGGCTAAGATGGAAGATAAAGCCTATCAATTCAGTTCAGGGTAACTTGACCCTTTAGGCCTCAACATAAATGACTCATGTTGAGCTGACACATCTTCATCCTGGATGAATGCCCAAAATGGAAAGTGATATTCATGGCCAGCCTAGAAATGTACCTTCTGTACTCCTGACTTGAGAATAAAACTCCGAAGACCATAAACACTGTGACATAGCAAGCAAGGCCCTAGTTCTTGTTTAGTATTGTCTGCGAGGATTGACAGCAACAGCCTCAGAATCTAGGAAGCAGTCTTCTCCATCCCATTTGACGTGTTTCTAGTTCTCTGAGCATTCCTGCATCTGTGTGATAGGCCCCCAGGGGAAGGACCATAATTCAGAGAGCAGGCACATGCTTTGAGGGCAAGACCAAGTTTCTTTAGATGTGGATAGGAAAGGCTCCTGCCAGAAATCTTGGAAAGCTGCAATTAGTTCAGGGATGGGAGACAGTTCTAAGCTAATGGCTAATGTGCTAAGTCTATATACTTGTTAAGTTTGTTTTGGGTATTTTTTTTTCAAGTCAGATGGAGCAGTGGATAAGTTAGAGGGAAAACTGAATTCCTCCCAACCTAATTGCTAAAGCAAATATGATTTTGAAGGAGAGAGAAGAAAAGCTGAACTTTATATTTTGTATTATAATGTAATTCTATGCAGATCTAAAATCAATACTATAGAAGAATGGAGAGGAAGCTAGAACTCTTTTGTCTTCTTATTCATGTAGCACTGTCTAAATAAAAATGTAAAGAAAGGTGTTGTATAGCTCATCTATATACATAGCACTTCAAAACGAATAAAGAAAAATAAGGGGCTCACAGTCTAAATTAGACATATGCATATACAAAAATGAAATAAAGAAATATAAGCATGGATCAGTTGAAGAAAATGTGATTATTTCAGTTATAGGAACTTTGGCTTGGTTTTGATAAGATATAAAAATTAAGGACCTTATTTGACATTTCCCTGAAACTTCAAAATAAATGTAGAAGTAAGAGAAAGGAGGGTATCTGGGAGGCAGTTCCATTAAAAGAGGGTACACAAGGAAAACTTAGTAGTGTTCTACCTAGTTGGTACCCCTGAGCTTACCTCTGACAATTCTAAAAAGTTAAGCAGGATTATTTGGAAGGGAAACTTTCAAGGGTTCAAAGGTAGACTGGGAAGTCAAACAAATTTTGAAAAACAATGACAAATAATCTCTATTGTTGCCAAGATAATTTCTTGAATGGGACAATTAAGTCATCAAGAACTGACTTTGGGAAATTTAGTTATTTAATTACAGGAAATAAGAGACCACTGAACAGCAAAGAAAAGTGGAGCTGTGGGTTGCAGGAGGTCATGCACTACAATATAAATGCAGACAGATAAGGCAAGGCAAAGCTGAAAATAAGGTCAAGAAACTTTTGTAGTATTTGAGGACAGACATTATGCCTGCAAAGCAATTTTAAAAGTAGTCTCAGATAGTCAGGGTTGCCAGGAAAGTATAGAACAAGTGTAAAGAGATGAAAATGAAACATTAAGTCTCAGATAACATATGACTATCAGGTTTGAAGGAGTCATGGATACAATGTCTGCTGGGGAACTCCCCTATTGTTGCACCATTTTCTTTCTCTACTTCCAGGTATGTACAAGCAGCAGAGAAGGATAGAATGGGTCCATTTTTATTTTTGTTTCTGTGTTTAGGGAGAAAAAAAATAATGTGATTGTTTCTGTTCCCTCCAAGAAACAGGAAGAAAAAAGTCTTCTTCTATTTCATGTTAATGCTTTTTACAAAGATATATTATACAGCATACTAGGCAACTTGTATAAACACATTTAAAAAGACCCCATCCTTCTTTCTACACAAACCCAATACATTGAACCAAGATCCCAGAATACCTTAATAGATTGAAAATGATTGGCATAACAAACAGAAGCTTTGCTCGTAAATTTATTCTTTAAAAAGTTAGTGCAGGTGGAAAGGGAAGAAGTTGCAAACATGGATGGAGCACAGTTCTTTGAGGGCTCCAGGGTTGGATTCAATCAGCTTAGTATTAAGACTTGCTCCCTCGCTTCTAACATTCTGGTTCCCTTCTAAAGTTCTTAGGTACTGAACACTGAGATTTTACAAAGGGCATTTGGTTCTCATCATCTTTATTTTTTTTCACTTTTAATTACTTGTATTGATGTATTCATTGATATTAGTGTTGTTATGATTTCTTTTCAATTATCACTGTTATTACAATTAATCTTTATATTGTTGTAACTTGGATTGGTTGTTTTGATCTGAATTTACTGTGGATGTTTTATGCTGTAAGGGATGTTTTTGTCAATTGTTTTGTAAACTGCCATGAATCTGTTAGAGAAAACTTTAAGGATACCATGGACAGCCAGGAAATCAAACAAATCAATCAAAGAACAAATCAAGCCAGAATTCTCACTTGAAGCAGTAATGACCAGGCTCTGACTATCATATTTGGGACAAATCATGTAGACACTCAGTTCCCTTGAACTTCATAATGCTCAGAAATTTAAAGGAGGAAGGGGATAGCTAGCAATCAGGTGGGCAGATTTGATCATAACAGCAGTGAATGCACCACTGAAATTTAAAAGGCCAACTTGAAGAAAGATAATTCTGGGATCAATTCATGGGGTGTTGCTAAGAATAAACATTGATTGACTTGATGGCTCTTAATCAATGAGTCTACTGATTTCGTGGTATACAAGTAGAATGAATGAATAAATCTGGCCCAAATGGTGCTAGTGATGAAAACTAAACTTGCAACCAAGATAAACGATCAGGGCAAGAAAACATTTCCGCTGAAGAGACAGGGTGGCCAGGCTGAGCCCCTCCAGATGTCCCAAACGTGCCAGCAGGGAATTATAGGTCTTCAAGTCCCATACCTCAAGGTGGAGTACAGCTGCTGTCAAGGAAGAGCGATGTAATTTTGCACGCTTGACAGGAGATTATGGTCTTCAAGCTCAAGCCATCTGAGCTTCAAGATGGGGAACTAGGTGAGGGAAGGCTACTGTCCAGGAAGAAATGAAAGCATTTAGCAATGACCTAAACAAGGCGAAACAAAAGCTTTGGAGGGAAACGAAAGCCAAGCCCTGTTACTCAATCAGCATCGCCCCTGCTTTTAAGCCTCTTCTTGCTTCGAGGACCCTGGCGCTGAGCAGGAACACGGAAGAAAAGCGGACCGAACAACCCGGCGCGCAAAGGCTGCTGGGACTCTGGTCAAGTTCTTAAAAAGAACGTTAAAAACCGTCTCTCCCGGGGCCGCTCCATTGGGACTCTCCCCTCTGATTCGTCAATCCAGATGCCAATCAGAAACTTCAGAGGTCATTCAGTCAATCCCCTCATCCACATTGTTACCTTATTGGTCCCTGGCTCTGACTCTCCTTAGTTTTAAATGTGAGAAACGCAGGAAGATCTCGGCTTAGTGTCATTATTGGGCCATCTGGACGCGCTTCTCATACCCGCAAGAAATATGTCTGGCCTTTCAATTGATTGGCCAATGTTGGAAACGTTCGCGTCCAGATTAACATCCTGGCGCTTTATTGGACTGGAAGGACGCTCCTCTGAAAGGCTCACACTTACGGCTGCCGTTAATTTGACGACAGCCGTCGCGAATACAGCACACGTACAAATGTCACGTACGCTCGTGGCTTCAAGAGAGGTTTCTTTTTGTCCTCCCTGCTGACTGGAGGAGGCTTGCCGGTTCGTCTTTTCATTGGTTGCTTAGTGTTAAGTTCACGCCTTCTCTGCCTCCGAACAATGACTTCAGTCTACTTTATTCCGGTTTGTTCAGTTTCCTCAGGTTCCCAGCTAAGAAAACGGAATCCTTATCCTGGATCCCTGTCAGTGATTGGTGGACGCTTCCTCCTAGTCCCGCCTTTCGTCTGAGTACCTCGTCGCCTTCCTTCCTCATTTTCATCGCTGTCTCCTAAGTCCCCTTAGTGATTGGCTGTGTCCCCAAGCCCCACTCCATTCCGATTGGTTTGTTTTCCATAAGTCCCCTTCTTCGTTACGAGGCCTCATCGCCCATTTCTCTTTCCCTTTCGTGATTGGATAAACCCATCTTCCTCCTCGACGTTCATTGGATGAACTTCGGCCACGGCAGCCTGGTGTGCGTGCGCAACCTGGGGTGGTTATCTCCCGCTCTCTCTCTCTCTGTTTCTGGAGCTGCCGCCGCCGCCGCCGCCGCCGCCGTCTAGGTAGGGGGGCGGGGGGAGGGAGCCGCGAAGCTTTGAGCTTCCTTCCTCTCTTCCTCTCCTTCACTGTCGCTCAGGCATTGGCTGGGCGACCAGGCCGCGTCCCCCCCATTGGGGGGGGAGGGGGCCATTGTTATGGAGACAGGTTCTGGGGATCACCCATCTCCGCCACCTCGACCTAATGCCTCTCATTCAGTTCTTCATGTTCTCAAGCGGATGGCTCCAGCTCCTGTGGCATTAGAAGTGACTACAAACAGCAAGCCAGCTTCGCCCCTGGCAACGGCCAATGCAGTAACAATGGACGCTGTGGAAGCCACTGTGCCAACTGGTACTACCCCGGCAGCACCTTGCATTGCTACAGAGGTGACATTAACCACGATGATTGCAGAGATGACTCTTGAGGCCAACAATAGTGGAAGTGTGGCAGATCCTGGACAGATGATGTCTGATACCTTAGCAATGGATGCAATTCCACTAGGAGATGGATTTTCAGCAGATATAGTTTCTGTGGTCAATTCGGTGACTCCTGTAATTGCTAAAGCTACAGTAAATGACGGCAGGATGATGTCATCATCAGTGGCTTTGCCAAAAGATGCAGTAGTGAAATCACTACCAGTTCCACCAGCTTCGCCAGCAGTGGTAGTGGTGGCCCCAAGTCCTATGACCCCACCGGAGAAGACTTCACCAACAACTCCAGAGGGTTTGGCACCTCATGATTTTTCCATTCCTCAACCACTTCAAGACATGGGTTCCCAGTCTAGTCTGGGCACTACTGCATCTAGGGTCCCTCCAGCTTCTGATACTTTGAGCTATTTAGATTCTGTTAGTCTCATGTCAGGCACATTGGAGTCACTGACTGGTCCTGGATTCCTTGATGATGCTAGCTCCCTGGGGTCAGATTCTGAAATCAATGGACTTGCATACCGTAAGACTGACAAATATGGCTTCCTAGGGGGCAGCCAGTATTCTATTACACTGTAAGTATTGGCACCAGTATGACAGTCTTTCTATGCTGGGGAAAAGAAGTGCTTTATCTCAGTCAAGCTAGTCCAGTGATGGGCATTACTTTCACTTGGACTAGGGTGCTGAAAATGGAGAACTTCAAGTTTCTGTCTTGTGGGCCACTAGCTCTTATCCTGGAGAAAGTGAACTCAGGAGAAATAGTTGTGTCTTAAGTACTGTCCTGATTACATTGTCACTAAGTTAAAGAGTATTGATGGACCCTTATCTATTAGATTTCTTAAATGGTTTCTTTCTAGTTTGAGAGTAGTGACTCTGGGATACAATTTTCTGGGAATATATAATAATGCTTCATTTTTCTGATTAGCATTAAGGAAGAGACAATGAGAAAATCCTGTTTTGTTTGTTTTCAGCAAAAAACTTCCTCTTCTTCTGATCCTAATCTAGTATTCTATATGTGGCATGCATCAAATTTGAAGGGTGATTAACAAATTGCACTTTACTTCCTCTAAAGAAGTGTACACACTGTTCACTTTTGCATGGGAAGGAAGGTCTATGAATCTGAGTAGCTTGGGGCACTAGAATAGGCAATTGGACCGTTCTTTTTCCTTAAAGTCTTAAATATAACATTGCAACATTGGTGTTCTGGTCTGCTGAATGAGTCATTTCTCCACTCCGTATATGGCTAAGATGTATTTTTGTCCTCTTTTCCATAGTTATGTATTTTTTTGCATGCTCTTCCCTTTGGTGTGAAATCAGAATCATGTCCCTGGAGGTGTGGCTTTGTACACTTTTTCATTGTGATTGAGTGGCTGTATTTCTTGAGTTGGCCGGTACATGTGATGGATTTTTTGTTTTGAATGAGCAGCACCAGTAATGTGGCTCCAGACAATCTTTCTCTGGTTTCTCATTGGTTTGAATGCTTGTTATGAAAATTGTTCCACATACTGTTCTCTTTAAATGATCCCTAATAACTGCATACTTTTGTAATGGTGTAAAAAAAGAAGAATTCCTGCTTCAGGATTTGGGCTGGTCAAAACTTCAAAAAGGTGAAATCTTCTTAAAGTCAAGATTGATTCTGATAACTTTATGGACATATCCATATAGTTTTCTTGGCAGTAATAGATAAGCAGTTTGCCATTGCCTTCTGGAATGTTTCTTTTAACTTCCCAGTCTAGCCTATAGTTCTGGTATTTCACTAGAGTGAATATGGGTATTTCCCATCCAAATACTTAAAGCTTGACTCAGCTTAGTTTCTGAGCCTAGGTAAGTTCAGCCAGATGCTGCCTCCTGTTAGATAAATCTGTATAGGCTCAGTGCACTAAGGAAACAACCACATTCTTAGATCTCCCCCTGCCTTCAACTGCCAGAGGCTGTACAAAGAATAAATATTGAACCGGTTGCTCCATCCCTTCTTAATCTGTTTTGGATATGAGATACAGGGTAGATGGACCACCCATCATGGCCTGGCCCTCAAGAAATCATGTCACTATTGAAGAAAACTCATGACAAGAGTCTGTCTGGAAATAGACAGTCATACATCAAACTTGGCTTCTATTTTGTCACTTTGAAACCCGCCCCCCCCCACAACCCTTAATTTCAAGCAGCTTCTAAAGCTCCTGATTGTTTTAGAATCAGCTTATGTTTCCCATGAGACTGGAGCTGAGAGAGGGTGGCAGCTACAATAATGAATTTGTGCTGAGGTTGATGCATTCTTTGTGCAGCCTGAAAAAGCACGTGTTGTCGTTCCAGAAGAGCTTTTGAGTACCGCCATTTGGAATTTGACTACTGCTTTTCTCCTTTCTTTCTTTGCCACAGCGTCTCAACATCCTATTAAGCCAGGAAATTTGGGGTTGATTGAAAAGGTTATCTTGCAGGACTCGCAGCATAGTTAAGTGCAGCATTGTAACGTGTACCACTTCGCAAGGTCCCTGAGTGGTAGGTACCAAGCTGCCCTCAGTAAGCATGTCTTTTCAAACTCACATGGCTGTGCTGGCATTGTAATCTGTGTGCCTTATAGAGTGGTGACTGGAGGGGATCATGTTTTCCCTGTGGCCCTGATTTCTTCTGGCATGTAAACAGTGTGTGTGTACACATCTAGACATTTACATAGCTCTCATTATGGTGTGCGTTTGGGCACTAATGCAGGTTCCAGCAGTTGTCTCTGAAACTGACCATTCATTAAAGAGAAAGATTTGCTAATCTGAAAGTGTGAGCAAAATGCCACAAATGCCAACCCTCTTTTCTTATGCAGTATGAGATTCAGCATAAGTTATTTTGGGATGCTGAAGGAAATTTCAGAACTGCTTTTCTAGTTCTAGAAACCTATAATGTCTGGCCCTTTGTCTAACAGCAGCCAGTCTGTGTTCAAAGGAAGACAGGGCAAGGAAAATAGGGCAAGATAATAATCACTTTCATCTGTTGTTTTTTCTTCCCAGCGGCTAGCAGATGAAAGTATTCTTCTGAATAGGGATAGGGTGAGGTGGATACTCTGTTGCAAATTGTTGCAACTAATTGCTGTTCATAAACATCATCTCCAAGGAATTGTCTCTGAACTCTTGTTTAAGTTGCAGTTAAAATAGGAGGTGGAACAAATCATGCCAGATTTTGCTAGATATAAAAGTTGCTTACAGATTTACATATGTAAAAAGGTGTGCTTGCTATTCATCCTGAACCACAGAAAAGATTTTGGTCATGAATGATTTTTTAGTTCTTAGTTTGGCAAGTGCAAGCTCTGCCATGATTCTGGAGTCTGCCGATGGTGATATTCTTCTGCAGGAAAGCAGATAATAACGAAACATATCGACGTTATGGATTATAGTGTAGGTTTTGCTTTGTTTCAGTTGGTGTGTGTGCTGTGGGAGGGGACCATGGTGTTTCTTTTCTTTGTGGCAAGATTCTCTTCTTGGTTGTGGATTAGCTGCTATTCCCTCCTAACCATCTGTACTAACCTTATGTCATTCTCAGCTGCTTATGGAGTGGGAACCCTCTACAGGAAGCCTGTTTGTGAGGAAAGCTGATCAGCACAAGACAGAGTAACCAATAGAACAAGCTGTGTATGCTAAGAACTAAATTGGCTTACAGTTGAAAAAAAGAAGGTAGTGCTGTGGAAGAATTTGACTAAGCTCTGAACATACTTTCCAGTTACATTCACTTTTATTCATCTGGGACAAGGCTTGGATTGGAGGAGAAGGGTAGAACAGCAGACTAGAATTAGGGTTTGCGGTTTACATTTAACTATTTTGCTTTTTTTCCTGCATTATTCCAATAGCCGAACAATAATTAAAACATGGATCTGATGTAACTTAGTCATGAAATAGGATTCTCTTTTTCCTCCCCTCCGTGCTTCCTGAAAAGCGTGGCTAGAGAAGGGCTTTAGGGCTGGGGATGGGTATAGATGCAAGATGAAGACTCTCCTTCAAGTCAGGCTCAACTGCTGGGGATTTCACAGACACATCTATATTTTCTTGGCAAAGTGGTTTGCCTTTGCCTTCTTCCAGAATGTTCTTTTAACTTCCTGGTCTTGCCTATCACCTTGGGATTCAAATACTAAGCAAGCCTGATCATGCTTTTGAGCCCAAACAAAATTGGCCAGGTGCTGAGACGTGGCTATTGATAATTGTGGTCTAAATTATCCCTTGTCTACCTACAGCTTACACTTGAATAGCCTTTGGCAAATTGCTTGTAAGGTTTAGGGGAGGGTAAAATACCTACATGTGCTGCAGGGAAAAGAAGGCCAGGATGCAGATTTGAAGTGGCATTAATGACCAAGTCCAAGATTGCATCGGTAATAGTCAGTAAGCAAGTGGTGGCAGGTGATAGGCTTCTTTAGGATAGTGGAAGCTATGCAGAATAATGTTGGGGCTCCTAGCTTTTTTTGACAGAGGAAATATGCTTCACAAGAGCACCAGTTACTGGCTTCTTCCTATTGGTGTGGCTGTGAGAGAACAGTATTCTTCTTCTCGCCCACTCAGAAAATGTACTTCTATGACTTTTTACAATCAGTCTCACCACTTCCTGTTTGGCAAGCAGCCCTTCCTGTTTTTTGTTTTTTGGTGTGTTTTTTTGGGCTGGGTTCTGTTAATGAGAGCCCTGCCTAGACCTTTCTTTATGACCACCATCACCCTGAACCCCCTCACCTGAAGTTGGGTACCTGAAATTGGATGTTGCACAACTGCAGGTTTTCATATAACTAATTGAGTTCTTGTTGCCCCATAAGCTCTTAAGGAAGACTCAGTGAATTGTGACTCACAGCTGGCTGAAGGCAGCTTCCTAATTTCAGATAACAGCAGCCCAGCTGCCCTGCACATTCTTTCGTGTCTTTGTTTTGTTGTTAAGGTGGAAGCTGCATGTGAGGCTTGTTTGTGTGTGATCATGTGCTGATCTTGGAGGCAGTAATGGGTAGTGAGAAACCACAAACACTGTGGCACAGAAACCTCCAGCGAGATATAGATGTAGAAGGAACTGTTCTCCCATAATCCTCTTGGAGCCGCAAGGCAAAGGGAGATGCCAAAAGTGTAATCCCGGATTTTTACCATGTACAACATCTGACGGTATGTGTGACCAATGAAGAAGGTGTTAAATGAAGTTATAGGGTCTGCAGGCCATTTAGCTAAATATAGACATATCAAAGTTAGTATGTTCAGAATGGGATGACTATATGATAGCTTAGAGGGTTTGTGACCAATCTCATAGGGTTATTCTGTAATCCTGAGCAGAAGGGATTGTGGAAGAGAGCTTCCAAGGACTGGGGAAAAAATAGGTAAGCTTTGGAGAAGCTTAATTTGCCACCATCCCAAGGGTTTGTCTTTTGTTGTTTGAATTGCTTTGCTCTCCTCTCCTCAGTAAAGCTGTATACTTTGCCTCTGTGGGTATGAAATCCCATAATCTAGAGGAGAGGCTGAGAGATCCATCATATTGCATAGCTCCTTAGCCTTTCCCCTGGAGAGCAAAAGCCTCAGAATTATGCAAATACTACATTTGTGGGATTTTTCTTAGCTCATAATCTTCTTCCTCATCCATTGTTTTGCTGCAGGGAAAGCGCCATCCCTGTGGATGTGGCCAGGCAGAGGGAACTTAAGTGGCTGGACATGTTTTCCCATTGGGACAAATGGCTGTCACGTAGATTCCAGAAGGTGAGCAGCGACCAGGGTCAGAGGCCTCTGTTCCTGGCTGATAAAGAAGAGCCTTAACTTCTGCTTTGGGGTTTTGAATTTCTGTTTCTTTACTGCACATATTAATAATTGCTCATTTTATTGCAGGTGAAATTGCGCTGCCGGAAGGGGATTCCCTCTTCTCTCCGTGCCAAAGCATGGCAGCTACTCTCAAATAGCAAGGAACTTTTGGATCAAAATCAGGGCAAATTTGAGGTATTCCTGTGTATCTTTTTAGGCTACTAAAATATGGGGAAGTCTACTTTCTTGGAGAATACAGAAGGTTTGGTTATTTCTAATATGCACATTTGTATCCTGCTTTTTCCAAAGACAACTTATTCTGAGGCATCTCACAAGTAGCATCAAAATGTATCAGTGAAACCCTAAATATAATAATTAGGATCCCTCCCAAATAATGGGGTGGGAAGGAAGGAAGGTTTGCTGGAACAAGCAGAGACCTGGTGTCTTTCTGAAATCCTTTCCATAAGGACAATTGATAGCAGTTAATCCTGTAGAGGCAGTAAGGAAAAGTCCAGTAGGATAGGCTTTGGTCTCCAAATTCACAGCCTTTCCCTCTTTGTTGGCTTTTTTTCTTAGGAATTGGAGCGTCAGCCCGGTGATCCAAAGTGGCTTGATGTGATTGAGAAGGACCTCCACAGGCAGTTCCCTTTCCATGAGATGTTTGCAGCTCGGGGAGGCCATGGGTGAGAGAACTAAAGAGGGGGTCTTTTTGTTGTAGTGCTCAGGAAAAAACCCCTTCTAGGGTTGGAAAATCACAATGATCCTTTCCTTTCTCAAACTTCATGAAATAGTTCTCCCTCTACGTACTAGATCAGCTCACCACCCCCAACCTGCTTTGAAACTTCCATAAGCATATTGGCCTGGCTGTTTCTAGCCTTGAATTGTCTCTCTTACTCCAGCCCTACACCTGCTCTTGCATCTCACCTCTGATGTACCTTTCAGTGTCTTTCCGTGTCTCTAGACTTAAGATGGGGGACACAGTGGTAATCAGGAACTCATGACTGCCTTGACACTTTTAGCTGTCTCATTAACATCCTGGCACATGTTCTGAGAAATGCTGAGCATTAACTACTCTGTAGGCCCTGTTACTAATTAAATATTCCAAAGAAACATAGAGGGGAATTCTGCTTTGCTAGAATTAGGTCTTGAAAATAGGGGGCTCCAGGAGCCAAAAGTCTAGATTAAATTTCCTAGTCATTCCCAGCTGGTTGCAGTTTGGTTCAGATGTCTCCTTGAAACTGGACAGGCTCCCTTCTCCCATTCCTCATCCTTCTCCTCCGTCACAGGCAGCAGGACCTCTATCGCATCCTGAAAGCCTACACCATCTACCGGCCAGAAGAAGGTTACTGCCAAGCACAAGCACCTGTGGCTGCAGTTTTGTTGATGCATATGCCCGCAGAGGTGAGGAGCTGCTTCGTTCACACTGCAGTAGCCAGTATGGAAAGCATAGTTTCTCTGGGAAAGAACTGCACTTCCTGCTTTACTTATATTTGCAGAATATTTCAGCAGGTTGGGGCATGTGTAGAATAGTCACTGTACTTTGGAGGTCTTGATTGGTGGCAGCTCTTTTGCACCAGACATTCTGCTCTGCCACATGCCCACCTCTATCCCTTTGAGGTACCAGGGACTGTGCCAGTTCCAGCAGTTGGGCCTGGAGCCCTGACAGTGACCATGTTTTCATGCAATATTATGCAAGTGTGCTGTTAAAACATAACCATTACGCTTCAACAGGCAGTCCTGATGCAATCTGCATCGGTTCTTAAATTGTGACTTCGTCTGTTCTCCTTCTGTGGCTTTACTACAGGCTCTGATGTGTTACTTCAGTGTCACTGAAGAAACCTGGAAGCCCCAGGGGAGAGGGCTAGTGCCCCTGAACTGGATTTGCTGGGCTTAGTTCACATAACTGGGAAGCTGTAACTGGGCGCTTGATAGAATGCTGGCCTTCCATGCACCCAAGCGCGATTGCTGGGACCATCTGGCCTAAGGATTTCTTGATCTCTCTCCACAGCAAGCTTTCTGGTGCCTGGTGCAAATCTGTGAGAAATATCTTCCTGGTTACTACAGTGCTGGCTTGGTGAGTTTGGCTGCATTCCCATAGAGAAAAGCAGTTTAGGATTCCACTGGGATTCTTCATGGGGAATGCCTTTTGTACTACACAGAAACTTCCAGCGTAAGGACAGGCAGCTTTTTTGTGGCCACGGGTTCCATTTTCTTGTTAAAATAGAGAGCCAGTTTGGTCTAGTGGTTAAGGCACCAGGCTAGAAACCAGTGGGCTGTGAGTTCTAGTCCTGCCTTAGGCACAAAAAGCAGCTGGGTGACTTTGGGCCAGTCACTCCCTCTCAGCCCAACTCACCTCACAGGGTTGTTGTTGTGGGGAAAATAGGAGGAGTAAGGAATATTAGATGTGTTCGCCACCTTGAGTTATTTGTAAAAATAAGAAAGGTGGGATAAAAAATCTAAAAAACAGAGTTGAAGACCCTGGGGGTCAAGGAAGTAGTAAAATGGGCGTCATCAGAAGGAAGAGGGCCAGTATCATGGCTCTTTTTCAGGGTTGGGTTTTTAAAAAAAATCAAAATAGATGTATACAAATGAAGACGTGAATGTGTTAGGCTTGCTGGAGTTTTAACAAACCTGATTTGATTTTACACCTTCTTGATTTAAAAAATAGGTTGCACTGCTGAAAAATGTTTATCAGTTGCTGAATCACAGCAGTGGAATCTTAAGAGTATTGGGGGAATTATGGATGGGATTGGGTACCTGATTCGCCCTGTAGGTTTCCAATCCGGCTCAAACAGATGGAGTTCCTTATTAATTTACAGAAAGTATTGTGCTTCTTGGTATGGTTTATTATCTCATGGGAGAAGAATATGTTGTGCTGGAGGATGGAGCTTCCTGGAAAAGGGTGGGAGGCCCAGAGTTTGAAAATATTCAGTAGAGTTGTGTTCCTCAACCTTAGCAACTTTAAGATATGTGGACTTCAACTCCCAGAATTCCCCAGCCAGCCATGTGGAATTCTGGGAGTTGAAGTCCACATATCTTAAAGTTGCTAAGGTTGAGGAACACTGCAGTAGAGCATTGGATCTGAAGATAAAAAAGTAGCACCTGTTTGCAGCTCCTTAAAGGAGCTCATCCTTTCTCAGGGTTGTGTAGCTGCAGGGCAATTTTGAAAATAGATGTATTAGGTTTAAGGAGTTCCTGACAGATGCTACCTGTGTCTCTGAAGAACCTTTTGGCCTTCAACTGCTGGAATATGTACTTGTTATGAAGAAATGCTTTTGTTTCTCTATTTGGCCACTTCATCTCAGTTGGTTTTTTGACAGATTTCTTCTCCAATCTGTTCTCATTTCCTCTTCTCCCCTCTCTGGGTCAGCTTGAAATTTCATATTCCGTGACTGATCATAAGATTGAGTTAACCATGAGTTATCTGTCGTGAATAAACCAAATTCTGGCAGGTGACTGATGATGAGCAAAGCTGAGCCCTACCACTCCTCTGAGGTCAATCTCGTTCCTTAATTTATTGAATTGAAAGGAGCAACACGATTTTTACCTACAGAAAACTTGAATGGTTGGAACCACTTGCAGATTTTTTTAGCATTCAGGTAGCAGGCTGACCCATAATGAATTTTATTTTACTTTGGTTTGGAATGTTATATGAACCATGCTTTATCGCTAAGTGTGGTGTCTGGACCCAGCAAGTTCAACAAACAGTGGTTAAGCAAACAATAGTTTGGTGCAATGTACTAACCAGTTCTGTGTCTCATCTTTCCATCTTTCTCTGCTGCGCACAGAGGCTATAAATACTGTATAGAACCAAGTCTAGGAGGCCTCAATTCTTTACTCAAGGAGAAAAAACTAAAAAGATTGTGGGGAGGGGGGGGAATACAGGCTGTCACTTCCAGGGCCCCTGAATTCACTCCAGTTCCCATCTGCACCTTGTGCTTCTTGTTTAGGAGGCAATCCAGTTAGATGGGGAGATCTTCTTTGCGCTACTCCGACGAGCATCTCCCATTGCCTATCGTCACCTGAAGAGATATAAGATTGACCCCATCTTGTATATGACGGAATGGTTTATGTGCATCTTCTCCCGGACCTTGCCTTGGTGCTCTGTGTTACGCGTGTGGGATATGTTCTTCTGCGAAGGTGAGCTGTGACCTTCCATTTTGTTTGGCTTTCTGTCAAGTCCTGCATGTCTGGCTCACTAATGCCTGCTTCTTCCCTTACACAAATTCAATCAAGAAGGAAAAAAACCCACAGGGATTCTGCAATCTCTGATATATATATATATATATTTTATTCCTGCTCTCTTTCTGAATTGTTTTTAATTCATTGGATGGAGGAAAACCTCCTGAGCCGTTATTTACATAGTCATGGCCAGCATCATGGCAGTCATGAGGGCTGTTTGCCAAAAAAGAGGGGTGGAGGGAGAGAAAGAGGAATTGTATGATGTCAAATCCAGTCTAGCATAATTTATCTCAAAATGGTACTGAGGATCATTTGATATCTTTACCAGGAGAACTAAGCTGATGAGACAGATGTTTGTAAATTATGCATGGTATTGAGAAAATTGATTTTTTTTTCTTAGTACGGACCAGGGCATTGTAATTTGGAAGTAAGTCCCATTGTATTCAATAAGGCTTGTCTTTGCAAGAATGCTTAGGATAACAGCTCCATTATGCTAGAACCTGAGATTACTAAATAAAAAATACAATTTTAACAATAAATTCAGGATGAATGACTCTCTGCACACAAGCTGATTTATAGAATCCTCTTTCTGCAATGTGATGGTGATCACTCATTTAGAGGGTAATAAAATACAGATTAGAGCCAGGGGTGGGTGGAGTGTTTTCCTGGTGGGTAGTAACATACATCTTCACGAACACCCAGGAACTTCCCAGAGGTCCCTGGTTGGTTGGACATTGTATGAAATGGGATGCTAGATTAGAGAGCCAAATTCAGGAGGGATTGTTTTAAAACCTTATGACATTTCTCTGTTGATGGACTTTGGTTCATTCAACTGCATCAAATCTGGTATTCGCAACCATGCCTTTGGGCATATATTTCATCTTTCTCTCCCCTTTTTCTTGTATTTAGTCCTCTCTTCCTCCTCTTTACCTTCTTGCAGGAGTGAAGATAGTTTTCCGAGTGGGCTTGGTGCTACTCCGGAATACCTTGGGCACGGTGGACAAGTTGCGGTCTTGCCAAGGCATGTATGAGACAATGGAGAAGTTGCGGAACCTCCCTGTTCAGACCATGCAAGAAGAATACTTGGTCCATGAGGTGAGAATCCCAACCTTTTTCTTTGTGGCTTACAAAGTATTTATATTGCTGCCCCAGAGTTCTCTGAGCAGCTAATGAAACACAGTTTTCAAATATAATATAAACAAAATAATGAAAGTAGAAGATAAAGTCTTTGAAGCTGGAAGCTCATTGTAGATTGAAGAGAAGTGATTGCTGATATCCATTGTGAAGAAAGGAAACAAGGAGAAAGGGGTTAGCAAAGGATTCTTAATTTCTTGGATTTATTTCCTATCTGAGGCAAAAAGAAATCACAATTTTTCAAAGTAAGAACAGACCACATCCATGTCTGTTTAGAAAAGCATGAAACCTACATACTGAAGTTTATTTATTTATTTTTATTCATCACATTTATATAGTTGCCCATCCCACCAACGTGATTCTGGGTGGCTATTAAAAGAAATAAGCATTAAAAATTATTCCATGGTAAAAAAACCCCAAACAATATTATTAAAAAAAAAGACTAAAAGAGAGTGTCTTCAGTGTTACATACAATGTAGCCATCTCACCAATTCTCCATTTCCCTGAGATCCCCAAGCCTGCTGAGATAGTCACATTTTGAATTTATTAACAGACTTGACATTCCGATAATTAGTTGGGATGCTTAATACTTTCTGAATATCATATTTATACAATAATTTAAAATTGGCTGATAGAAACACTCATAGTTTTTCCTTGAGCTATGTAATAATAATATATAGAAGGCCTTCCTAAATGTAATGCTGTGATGGGCACTGCTAGGTTTATGTGTATGAAGAGGATCTGGTTCTAATAACAAGTTATTTCTGCTTCCACTGACAAGTATTTTGAATGAGGTGCTCCTGGCTTATGTGTACTTCATGACAAGGTCCTCAGCTGTAGAAGAGAATATGAACCAAAAGATGCCACATATAGTTATTCCTCCTTCTCCTGTTTCTGTCTCCTGTCTGGTTCAGGTGATTAATCTTCCAGTTACTGAAGCCCTCATAGAGCGAGAGAATACCACCCAGCTGAAGAAATGGCGGGAAACTCGGGGGGAGGCTCCAGTACCAAGCCCTCCCGCCGACTCCATGGCTCACGAGCAATCCATGAGGAGCGCTACCGTATGAACCCACCCCTGACTGCTAGTGCCAGCCTCTTGAGCCTCACAGGGCTGAAGCAGAGGGTTGCTCTGGGCAGCATCAGTGGTCCTTCCTTCTCCCCAGTTCATTCCATAGGTTCCTTGGCTGAGCCTCCTGCACCTTCCCCAGTCCCTTCTGCTGCCCAGAATCAGGTGGTGGTATCCGAGGGCCTTCATGCCGCCCTGCCCTCTCCTACTGGGAACAACACACCCTTAGGCGGCCCTAAGAAAACAGGGAGCAGCAGCAACAAAGCAGAGAAGCGGAAAGAAAAAGAACGGGAGAAGCAAGCAAAGATAGAAAAGGAGAAGCAGAAGCTGCAGAAGGAGCGGGAGAAGAAGCTGCAGAAGGAACGGGAGAAGCAGGAAAAGGAGAGGGAGAAACAAGAAAAGGAGCGGGAGAAGAAGCAGCAGAAAGAACGAACCAAAGAGGAAGCCAAGCTAAAGAAAGAGAAGAAACTATCTTTGAGGAAAAAAGAATCCAAATCAGCCACCGAAGAAGGAAGAGATGGGGAAACCCCTGGGGGGTCAGTGCTCCAAGACACTTACTTTTGAATAATGCTAAGGGATGGGACAATGCAAGTCTGGACAACTCCCAAGGACCAAGAAGATGGTTGCCACTTAGAGACATATTGTGGTTGAAGGACCCAAAGGACTGCAGGAGGTACACCAAGGAGAATCACTATAGTACACTGAATCCCCAAACTTAGGGTCATAGAGGGTTGGAGGATAATTATCTAGATTCCATGGATTTACCTCTTTTGAGTGCCTGAGGTGGGTTTGAGTCCCCCATCCTGCTCTCCTCTCCCTTAACAACCAGGGAGAAATGGTCCATGATAGCTGCTGTGCTCTGTGCGTGGATACAGAAGATGGTGGCCCCGTGTGAATTTCACCACAACCAACAGGTGCAGCTGCACAACCCTCCTCCGTCCCCTCCAAGCTTGGAGTCTAACCAAGGAAGTAATTGCATTATTAACAAGTACTTTGTATAGAACCATCTCCCCTTAAAACCATTTAACCACTCCAGGTATGACATCACCTCCTTCCAGAGAAGCAACGTGTGGACTCCCCCCCAATCTTCCAACAGATTAACAAACTCTTCTGCCATTGCAAGGTGGATTGGCCCTTTTAACTCTGTTGCATATTTTTTCCCAGTTCGCCTCAACCTGATGGGCTCCACAAGGCACTTAGGAAAAATCCCATATAGATATGTACCTGCCCGCCGCCTCCTCCCCGTTGCATGGCTTCCTACAGTAGCGGCCTTGTTTCCTGACCAAATCGCCTCTATTTTCAGAACCATTTGATGATAGGCAGATGTGGAACCAGGGTGACTTTCTCCAGCTTGGACATTCAGGAAAGGGGAAGCTTGGGCCTGTGGACTTTTTTTCTGCCCTACAACAATGTGTGAAAACTGGGGTGGGAGATTTGAAGCCACTTGCACGCTTGGCCACTTGGCTGTTCCTAGATAAGGGATTCCTAGCAGTCAACAAGGAAAAAAAAACCCTGAGTTTCTAGAAAAGTTTGCTGGGTTGGCTCAGAAAAGAGGAGTAATTAGATTGGGTGAGAGAGAGAGAGAGACTCCATTTTCTGGTTCTCTGCTTTTGATGTGTGGTCAAATAGTTTCAGTCAGAACAAGAAAAGTCCATTTCCTGTCCTAGAGAACTAGCTTTTGGCAAAAACATTTCCTGAGAGATGTGGCAGGGTAGCCTTGCTACTTTGTCCAAAAGAGGTTACTACTTTTGAGGGGAACTTCTGCCCCCAAGAGGAGATTTGGGTAAACTGTGTCTTCCCAAGTGCTATACTATAAAATACAGAAGTGTTTGTTACTGGAATACATTTAGCTTTTCATCCCATCCTTTAAAAACAAACACACCAAGGATAACTCTCCATTACAGAAGAAATAAGAATTAGTTTTTAACCTTCATTGGTTTACTGAGACCAGTGTTTCTCAACCTCAGCAACTTTAAGATGTGTGGACTTCGACTCCCAGCATTCCCCAGCCAGCCATGGAGTCGAAGTCCACACATCTTAAAGTTGCTGAGGTTGAGAAACACTGACTTTGACGGTTCCTGGAGTGTACATTTTGAAGGTGCGGAGATTGCTTTCCTATTTTAGTGCTGCTCCCCTGTCTTTTCACAAAACCTACAGGTTTCTTCAGCTGTGGCTGATAAAGCTGGTTTAAAGCTGGTTTATAGCTTGTTGATGTAGATATTAACAAATATTCCTAAGTGATGCATGCTTGATTTCCTTGTCCCCCCCCCTCCCCAAATGGTCCTTTTAAAGTAATTGGAATGTATTTGCTCTAGACATTTTTCTCTGTGGTTCGCTGTGCGACCACAAAGAAGATCTGTTTCCTTTTAAGGAAGTATTTGCCGATACTGCCCTGTAAACCTTTAATGATGGAGCAGAAGGCAACTATTAAACTCTTGGTTTCTATTCTATGCAGTCTAGGAAGATAATATTGGCAGGTCAGTAGAGTTGACAAACTTAGGAGTTTTGTGGGAGGAGATTTGGGGAGTTTGAAACTGGAAGATAAATTCTTGCTGCCTTGGAAGTCAGACTGGGCTGTTAGGAGTCCATACTGGATTCGTGTGTTCCCAACTCTGCCTGCAGCTTCTGCAGCATCTTTTTCTTCTCTTGGTCACATCCTCTGCAGTTGTGAATAGTTTGAAAATCATGAACCTGTTTCAGAATTTTCCTTCCCCGAATATACCTGTACCAAATAGCAGTTTCTCTTTGAATTCACATACCTATACAGGATCTAACAAAAATGTTCTATTAGCCCATTCTCTTCTCTGTATATACTTTCTCTCTCTAACACATATATTATATATATGTTTCAGTATTGTAATTATGTATACAGATATTTGGGATTTTTTTGATCTTGTGCTCTTATTTAATGGGACAGACACTGGAAATTAGGAATCCATCTTCTCCCCATGCCTTATTGTTATTTTTAACTTTTTTTTATCACTGCCCCTAATTTTGTCAAGCAGTAAATTACAAGTAACAACTCTTTGCTGTCCTACTTGTTAATACTTTTTCTTTGTTTTGTTATTTGTGCTTCATTTTTATTAGATTCCACGTCCTCCCGTGTTGCTTTGTCTAAAAATGTTAACAAAACAAAATGGAGTTCAAGTTTGTCAAGTGTCTTTGTTAACTGAGGATGAATTAAGCTATTTATTTTTATGGGATTGGCTTGTTCAGATCCAGAGAAAGAGAAATGTTTTGTTTATTGAAGCAGCTCTGGCTCAGATAGCTTGTATGATGCAAACTTCAGTTAACCAGAGGGAGGTGGATTCAGACAACCCAGAATGATTTAGATTTAGTCCTAAATAGACCAGGTTGTGGAGTCAAACAAATTCCCTCTGGACAGCTAATTGCATTGTTTATTCTCTGACATTCATGACTCATATCAGGTCCTACAGAGGCTTTGTTAAAACCTGGTTTTTCTAGGCACTCCGTCTTTTTGTACATTTCACTTTTCATCCCATGCCATATGAGGGCAGGGTGAAAAATGGGCAGAAACGTGAGAGAGTCTGCTTTTCCCCTGAACCTGTCCAAGGTTGTACCAACTCTGATGGTGCCATTGCAGATTTTTTTCCCCCTTCAGAGGGAAAACAGTAGGAAATGGAAAAGGAGATTACAGCTTCTTCAGCAGCTGTCAAATGAGTGACCTGATTATCCAAGACGCATGTGAACAGGCCGGGGGGAAGGTTCGAGATGGGACTTGGCTCACAGCAAAATTTCCAGTTGGGTAAGACATTTGAAGAATTTTACCCATTGGGTCTGTTATAATGATTTGTACACATTGCCACATCCTGTTTGAATAGAACCTGGGCGGACACCTGATGGAATTTCATTTTGCTGTCCCAAGTGATCATACTTGTGATATGAATCTAGCCATAGTCATTGGAGATTTGAAGTTGCATTCCCATCCACATGTACAGCACTCTTTCACTGCAGTTTCTTAACCATTACTAGAAGTTTAATTAGGCTGGGGAAATGCTGTACTGGGGGGATGAGATACTGTTAAGGGGAAAAAAAGTAATTGTAAAGCAGCATTTCATACCCCTTTTTTCTGCTAGTAATTTCCATCACATTCCTTCCCCTCTTCCTAGCTATACGTTCTGTGATTTTGTGGCCCTCCAGATGTTGAAGTCAACTCCTCAGCTTTAGCCAACAAAGCCAGTGGGGAATTACAGTTGAATGGCATCTGTCATTCACTTCATTTGTCGCTCACACTTGTCTTAGATCATTGGAAACATGGTGGAAGTGGGGAAGAGAAAACAAATGAAGCACTATATTCTGGAAACTAAAACAAAGGAGTAAAAGATAAATGTTTGTCATACTAGGATTATTTTGGGAACCTGGCTCCCCATTCTCTTTGTTGCCAGCTGCAGCCCCCCTAAATTTTCATTCTGGGAGCTTGTATGTATTTGGCTTCATTGTAAATAAAGTACTGTGTGTTAGGCTTTCAGTCATAGAACACACTCCAGATTTATTCTTTTTTGTTGTGTTTAAGAGTCCAAACAGGAAATCTAGAATTTGAGATTTTTTTTCAGAATAAGTAATACGCAACATCTCATCTCTGCTGGCTGTCAAGAGTTTCCTACAGAAGGGGAGCAGGAATTCCTATGGTGCACTTCCTCCATTGGCTTTCCAAAGTTGGAACATCCTCCAGCTTCAATATGCTGCTACTGGGAGGTCTTGTGACCATCACTGTGCAATAATTCTATGCAGAATCAGACTTCAAAAAAAATCAGAAAAGTGTGGATTGTTCTTCAGAGAGTTGTCTGAAACAAGGATTGTTTTTTAGTTTTTAAAGCTGAGCTAAATAAAAAGTAAATGAGAGCACTGTGGATGATGCAACTTGTAGTAACACTTGAGGAAATCCTTAGTAAATGATATATAGAAAATACTACTTTGATTTAAGGTAGGAGAAAAAGCTAATTACTGGGGGGAAACCACCATAGTCCCTGCCTTCTCTATCTAAAATGGCATTTGATAGCAGGCCTGAGAATGTTCTCTACCCTGGATACTGATGACCTCAACTAATACTTGTTTGATTAGTATTTCTGTACCCCAATGGCTTTGCTGGCTAGAAGCTGCCAATTGCGGCCCCAAGCATTTAGATAGCATCCGATTAGAAAAGCTGGTATAGACAGCCCTTTTCAAAATTGGATTCCATGTTTTATTCTAAGCATATATTTGGGGATCCATTGATTATTTTTGTTAGTCATATGTTCCTGCTGTCCAATATAGATCAGGCTGCAGTATTAATAGATCCCAATCCTGCCTAACTGAAAAACAACATTTTGACTTCCTGGAAGAGATCCTGAGGGGGAACCACTCTTTTATTCTGGATATGCGATTTTGTTCACAGATTCAGACATTGGTGTAACCAAAAGTTCCCACCCACAATAAGAAGCTCACAAGTGTCCCTTTCCTAAGAACGGCTCTTGTTCTTCTTGAGTGTGGTTGCTGCTGCGTTAGTGACAAAAAAAATTGGCTCCCAACTTCCTTTAAATACGCATTTATTAAAAGCATTTTTTTTTAAAAAAGGAATCTTTTAAAACAAAACTTACATTTTTCACAGATACCAACTCCCCAGAAACTTTAGGTGTCCCCAAATTCATTGGTTACAGCCAAATGCTTGGGATTACCGATTGTCCTATTCAAAATGTATCAAGCTCTCACTTTCTGGGATCTGCTTACCCTTTCCCTCCTGCCACTGTTGCCTAAGCCTTATAACAGCCTTCCCAAATTCCTGATGGAGGCAAGCAAATTCCATGTGACAGAATCTCCTTTGTTCGGCCAGTTTTGAAGATGGCAGTGTAAGGTCTATTGCCTTATATCTTGCTTCTTCCGTAGAGTACTGTTGGCTCTTCAACCTGTGAAATTGCCCTTCTAGCTCAGCGACCAGAGCTCGGAGGTACTCAAATCCTGCTGTGCTCAGAGCTCGTACCCAATCTTCCATGGTTTCTTGATTCTCAGCTGCCATCTTATAGGACTGATCAGGCAAATCATTGGGGTAGCAGATTTTAAAGGTATGTGGCTCAGATGAGGATTCCTGCAATTCCACTATGCAGCCTTCTAAAACAATGAGCTGAAAAGGAGCTCGGTCTCCTGGCTGCTCCCGGCAGAAAAGAAGATTTCCTCGGAGCTCACACCAGCAGGGCTGGTAGGAAGCGGTGCGGTTACTTTTCTTATAAAGTAGGCCCTGCCGGTCTGGGGGCTGTTCCAAGTGGGAAGAGGTAAGAATACTTGCGATGTGGAGTTTCATAGCAGACATGCTCAGAAACTGGATAGATAATAATAGGAAATCGGGATGAGGGAATGTAGAGACAAAACAAGCTGTATGCCAAGAGGAAGATTAAGGAGCCAACAGGAGCCGAGCAGTTTTCCTTAAGCCAGGCTTTATGCATTTCCTCCCAAATGTGTTAAATTACATTTCCCCAGCAGCCTGGTCATTTTGTAGCTCACTAGCAAAGGATATTTAAGCCATGCTCCCTTTGTTTTAGAATGTGGCAGACAGCCATTGAAAACTGTCCATGGGCTTTTCAGCACTGCAACCTTAAGCTGCTTGATTCTCATGCAGAAATGAAGCCAGCTTACAAAGTCCCTTGTCAGAAGCCAACCAGTTCCTCCACTTTGGCCATGGTGATGGCCAGATGTTCTGCCCCACCTCCCCTTGTACTTGGAAGTATAAGTCCAAGGGCACTGATTTTTTTAGTGCCTCATGACCTACTAACCACAAGGGGGCAGTGGGGTGTAGCTAGAGCACTATATATTTACTCCATGCCCCCTCTTTGTCAATCATTCCAATCTCAGGAATGTTCACATGCCTACCAATACTTCAACCTCCAACACTGGTGGGCCCAGCAGTTGACCAGGTTTTTACAAAAAAGGAAAAAAAGAAAACACCAGTGTTACCATTTTCCTGTCCCTTGGGCTAGAAGGAGAAAGTGGCAGGATTCTTGTCAATTTCACCTAGCGGGAGAAAAAAAGACAGGCCCAGTGTTCAACACATTTCAGTGTTCCAACAGTGATTTAAAAAAAAATAATCATGCCCTCTGTTTCCTTGATGAACTTAAAAAAAAAACACATTGTAGAGAACAGTGATGGGGGGAGGCATGTTTCTGGCTCACACACAGTAGCTAGTTGGAGTGGTGTTTGCCTACCTTGAAAGGAAATGCAGATGAACCAGGTATTACAACTGGCACATCAGACAACACTATTTTTGATACTTGGTAGTAAAAGAGGGGGGCAGGCTGGGGGCAGAGGAAGAATGGCATAATGAAACTAAGCCATAATTTACTTGGGTTTGGCTTAGAGCAGTGCTTCTCAACCTCAGCAACTGGAAGATGGGTGGACTTCAACTCCCAGAATTCCCCAGCCAGCATTTCATGTGGTTTAATGCATGTACTAGTTGAAAATGGCAATGGACCTTTAAAGAAGAAGCTAAAGTAGGATGTAAAAGTAAAACAAAAATGGAAATCAAAGGCAAGGGAATTAAAGAGAACGAGGAAGTACAGGAATGGTTTAATAAAAGACTGGTGAAGTAATACAGGGGAATGAAAAGAGACTTCAGAGATCGGGAAGGGTGCTACAAAAGAAATTAAAAATCTACACCAAGGTGGTACGTAAAATGTCACAAAAAAAGGTGTAAGCTTTTGAGCTTGAAAGGAAAGTGGTTGGAAAGGAAAGGGAAGGGGGAGGAAAAGCGACCAATTCTGCAACCATATGTATCCTACTTCATATTGCTTGATGAAAGGATGGACAGCCTTCAGACATGCCCAAATGGGGACTTATAACAGTTATACAAAACTGCATTAGATTCTGAGTTATCCAAGATTTTTCTTTCAAAAGGGGCTGGGTGGGGCATTTTCAGGGATATTTAAGGTAAATTAATCACAAGACCCAGATAAAATAATGAGAGAAAACTATAACATACAAGCACTTGCTGAATGCATTCAGCCCTTACCTTTGGTGCCAAATTCATCAGGTTTTCCCCTTAGATTTTCCACCAGAACAAAGTTTTCCTTTCCTCTAAATTCAAAAGCAATAATTTCTTAGGTGAAGAGGGTGGGGCTAAAGCTTACCTGTGTCCTCTATTCAAGTGGCATTGAAAGTCATTTGATCTTTTGTTCCAGAATGAAAGAGATAAGTGCAGGAAGAGACTTTGATCATGGTTTCTCGTTTTTTTCACTCATAGCTCCCTCCAAATGAGTTAGAAGAACAAATGGCTAGAAAAAGGAAGGAATCAGCAATGAGCAGGGAACCTGACCACAAGCTAGAGTTCTCTCTGGTCCTAAAGAGAACCAGTTTTGTTGGGCGGGGGGGGGAAATAGGCTGATTATAGCACAAATTGCTCTGCAAAACAGCACTCTGTTAAAAATCCTACATTCTTTGTTGTCATTAAAAACTTTTGAATCTACCAAGTGTTTTATAAGTGAGCCTTTCTAATGTTTTCTTCGTCTTTAAATAACTTTCTATTTTTTTTTGTATTATTCATATTGTAAGCTACTGTGAGAAAATGGTACAAGTAGTCCCCGGGTTAAGAATGCCCGGGTTACAGATGACCAATAGTTAAGAACAGAGCCTATTGTAGCAAAATTTGAGTTAAATACACAATGATCTGAGTTCATTATACAATGCTACTTATACAGTATTATACAATAATACTGTTCCAGCTTACATACGAATTCAATTTAAGGACAGACCATGGGAACGGAACTCCTTCTTAAACGGGATTACCTGTATCATGAAATGGTGAGGGATAGGATGGGTAAAATTCTATTTCAAACAAACAATTCTAGAAATTAACTGTTCTGCTTAGTTCCAGAGGTTATGTAGCTCAGCTTCAGGCTTACTGAAAGATAGGTGGAGTGTAACTGCTAGGTGCAGGTAGTCCTCGTCTAGCAACTGCCTTATACAGCAACCATTCGCAGTTACAACGGTGATGAAAAAGTAACTTCATGACCAATCCTTGCATTTACAACCTTCGCAGGTTTGTAAAGCAAAGGAAAGTTGAGGTAAGATTATAAGCACAGTTGTGGTTTCACTTAGTGACCACTTTACTTAATGACCAAGTTGCCAGTTCTAATTGTGGTTAAACAAAGACTACCTATATCTGACAGATTTTCAGTAGGTTCATCTGCATATGTTATGGCAGCTTTCCCCAACCCAGTATCCTCCTGATGTATCTGATTTCAACTCTACAAATCCCGAGCTAGGTATGCTAGTTGAGAATTCCCAGGCTGTGTTTGCATGACACCATGAACCAAATGGGGGACCTTAGTCTGTCTGGTTGTTTTATGATGTGTTGTGTGACAACTGGACTAAGTAACCCATGTGCACATTAACCATGGGGATGGTGGCCAGATCTGTGTAGACAACTATTATATGACAGAATTTGTTTTTGTATATTGTTGCCAACACAGCTGTGTGGTACCAAATTTGGGTAGGTTGCATTAGGGGGATATCTGGAGAATCTTGCCCTTTGTATCATTTTGAAAGCCCAGCATCAAGAAGAGAGAAAATGCAATTACCATGTATATCACTGTAAAGAATGGTGAAACCTGTGATTCGTAAGATGATATTGGACTTCATGCTCATCAACCCTAACTATTAGCCAGGTAGTAGCCACAATCATGTAAAACAGTGTTTTTCAAACTTGGCAACTTTAAGATGTGTGGACTTCAACTCCCAGAATTCCACACATCTTAAAAGCTGCCAAGTTTAAAAAACACTGATTTAAAACCACAGGTTCAGCACTGAACTAAGGAAAGGCAGCAATTCTTGAAGGAAGGAGGCATATGTATGCTATTTTTGCATGAGAACACAGGATGAGTCTTACTTCAATTAATAAAGCCTGAACTGCTGAATGCCCCCAGCAAATTATTTTCTTTGATCCAAACTAGACTTTTAGGGGTGAATGAGTCTCCTGTTTCATCATACCCAGGTAACTGAGAAATAAGAGGTGAACAGTAACCTAAAAATGAGTCTCAAACCATGCTTAAATGCAGTACCTGGTATAATAGCAAAATTGTGGTGCACAGATACCTGTAATCAAGCTCTTTCGCTTAAGTTGCGATCCCACAGTTGTATAGGGATCTCTGCCTGCTTTAACTAGTGGAACACTGGAGAATAAGCTACCTTGGCTGATCTCAAACAGCTAAGTATGGACAGATTTGGTTAATACTTAACTGGAAACCAATCAGGATACTTGAAAGCTATAGATATATTGGGAGTCCAGAAAAACCCAACCACCTCTCCCCAAAGAAGGGATTGGCAAATCATTTCTTTATTGTTGCCAAAAACAAAACAAAACAAAACCCTATATGAAGTCACCAGGAGTCAAGGCTGATTCAAGGAAGACTTTCCCTAAGAAAATTAAATGGTTTTATGAACAGCTCTGCTTTGATTGGACCAATTAAAGATTCATCTAATTCAGGATTTTGTGTACATTAGAGCAGAGAGGCATTCAGTAACTAAGAAGCAGGGTAAAAAAACATAGACTATTCTTCCTTGTTGAGAGTCTAAGATAGACTTCCTTTGGCTATGGAGTTTTTATCTACCCATTAGAATTAATCGCTGCTGGTCGGCCTATCTTTCACAAATGTATTTCTTCATGTCTTCTTGAAATAGCGGCAATTCAGTTAATTGCACGTCCGTCACTGCGCAATTACAGATTCAGAAAAGGGCGGGAAAAGTCAGCGAAGGCTGAAATACAAATACACTATTCCTATTAACAGGATAAACTCCAGAAAGGGCGAAACTATTATTTAGCGGGTAGATCCAATAAAAAAAAAAAATCCCCGTCCATTCATCGCGACACTTTATCAAAACTTGGCCTGCCTCCACCCCCCCCGCCCCAACATGTAGTGCTTCTGAGTTCTGCCCACACTTCCCTCGATCGTGCTGAGCGATGAAGTCACGGGCTGCCAAAAGTAAAGATCACTTCCGGTGCGCGAGTGGGGAAATGTCGCTACCTGTTCGCGTCATATCCGGCTCGAATGGCAGCAGGAGTCTGATGTTGATTTCTGCGCAGCGCTGCTGGGAGGCTTCGGGTGCTGTTGTTGCAGCCGCCTAGGTACGACCCGCGTCGTTTCTCCGGGGGCGGGACGGAGGGGAAGGGGCAAACCCGCCAATTCTAATTTAGGGACTCGCGGGGCCCTTTTGGAGGGTTGGAGGAATGGGGGTTCCTGAGGTCCCCGGGTAAATGTCGAGGTCGCCTCCTAAGTGAGTTCAGACGTGATTACTTTAGTGCAGACGTGGTTAGATCTGCGAGAAAAGTCGTGGGGTACCCTCGTTGGTTCCGATACGTTTTAGGGGGAGGAGATTGGTAGGCGTCCCTCACCTCCAATTCTTCAGTATACCCAGTTGAGGAAGTAGTTGGTGGTTTTCTGGTGAAATTCATGCGTTATGGAGACTGTTTTGGAGTTCAGGAAGGGGAGGAAACTTAGTTTAAGAAGTGGCAACAAAACCCCGTTTTTGGAATAACGGCTTCTCATCTTTCTGCATCTGAAGGAAAGGTGGAACATGTAGTATTCTTTACAAGCCCTACATTTGGGAGTGCCTGAGAGCTATTTTGAACCAAACCATTATGAGGGAGAATGCAGGGTTCTTTTAAATTGTGATATATTTTGGGCACTATTTTTTGTTCTGAGAGTTTATCAAATTGTTCAATTACGTATATTATTCTATCACTTCATTGATGCCAAAGGGCAGGTAATATGTACTGTGTGCATCTACACCAGTATAGGTAGCAAAGGCAGAGCTGACAGTGACTTGTTTACAAACTTTTCGCAGAGGCAGTGTATAGTAATGATAAGGTCCTTATCATTAGAGAAACCAGCATTCTGGTAAAGCTGGATACTATGCTTATCGCAACTGCCGAGTTCTTTTTTTTTGGGGAAGCTAATCAGCTGTGTGTGTGTTTCTTAAGTATTTGACCAGGGTCCCCTTTCTCTACTGTTGGTTTGGGTGGCATTTTATAGGGTCATCATGTCAAAACGGAAAGTCACATTTGAAGACCAAGGTGATGAAGATGAAGAGGAAATGAGCCTCCCAAAGAAGAAGGTCAGATAAAACTTTGTAGCATCTTTGCCTAATCTGCATGTTTTGGGTTAGTGTTCTCATCAATACTGATCAGTCTAGTGACAGGAGCTCCTAGAAACTAGGATAAAATACTTAGATGGACCAAGGTTGAGGAAGACTATTCTGTAACTTGAGATTCAGAGAATAAAGCCAAGGGGGAACTGTCTATAACAGTGTTTTTTCAATTTGGCAACTTTAAAATGTATGGACTTCAACTCCCAGAATTCCCCAGCATGCCCACACATCTTAAAGTTGTCAAGTTTGAAAAACACTGGTCTATAAAGTGGAAGACTATAGTTATGGACTGAAATATGTTCTTCAACTTATCAGGAAAATTTAGAGAATCTTACATAGGGGTAACTTGTTAATCTGAAGAGTTAGCT